TATTGCCCAGGCTGGAGTGCAATGGCGAAATCAGCTCATTGCAACCTCTGTCTCCTAGGTTCAAGTGATTCTCCTGCCTCAGCCTCCAGAGTAGCTGGGATTACAGGTGCGCACCATCATGCCTGGCTAATTTTTGTATTTTTAGTAGAGACAGGATTTCACCATGTTGGTCAGGCTGGTCTTGATCTCCTGACTTCATGATCTGCCCACCTCGGCCTCACGAAGTGCTGGGATTACAGGTGTGAGCCACCCTGCCTGGCCCAGAATTGGTTCCTTGTGAAGACTATAAGGGAGAACCTGTTCCATGCGTTTCTATGGGTTCTGGCAGTTTGCTGGCAATTGTTGACATTCTTTGGCTTGTAGAAACATCACCCCAAGGTCGACCTTGATGTTCACGTGGTGTTTTCCCTGTGTCTGTGTCTGTGTCCAAATTTCCTGTTCTCATAAGGACACCAGTCATATTGTGTGACCTTATCTGAATGAACTACATCGGCAATAACCCTATTTCTAAATAAGGTCACATTCTGAGGTACTGGGGCTTAGGACCTGAACATATGAATTTTGGGGGATGCGATTCAGCCTATAACAAAGGGTATATAACCATTTACTTTTAGAAAAATGTTGCCAAATCCCCTCTTCATAGAAATTGTACCATCAGCTGGCTTGCAGTGGCTTACGCCTGCAATCCTAGCACTTTGGGTGGCGAGACTGCTTGAGCCTGTGAGTTCAAGACCAGCCTGGGCAACATGGTGACACCCTGTCTCTACAAAAAAAGACAAAAAAGAAAAAAAAAAAAAGCTGGGAGTATTGGTGCATGTCTGTAGTCCCAGCTACTTGGGAGGCTGAGGTGGAAGGATTGATTGAGCCTGGGAGGCTAAGGCTGTAGTAAGCCCTGATCACATCACTACACTCCAGCCTGAGTGACAGCGAGACCAAGAGGAAAGAAATTGTACCCTTACCTTCCCACTAGCAACGAGGAAAGTGGCCTCTGTCCCACAGCCTTGCCAACACACTGGGCCATCACACATTTTGATTTTTGCTAGGCTGGTAGGTGAAAAGTGGTGTCTCATTGTAGTCCAACGTGCATTCCATTTATAAGTGAGGATGGGAGTTCTCTTATCATATATTTAAGACCAATTTGCATTGTTTTTGCATTCAGTTGTTTATATCCTTTGCTTATTTTTCTCTTGAATTATTGGTCTTTTTTTTAATTTTAAAATTCTTACTTTGTTAATTTAATATCTTAAAACTAAAAAAAATTTTTCGCATCCTCGCCTTCTTTGCGCCCTGGGGCCCGAAGGTTCGGACTGGTCTTTTATCCCTATTCATTCATAGAAGCTCTTTAAACATAAAAGAAATTAGCTCTTTGTGATAAGTTTCAGATATGTTCTTTTCCTGTTAGTCAATTGTTATTTTACTTTTTATATGAATTTCTTTTTTCTTTTCCCCTTCTTTCTTCTTTTCTTTTTTTGGAGACAGGGTCTTGCTCTGTTGCCCAGGCTGGAGTGCAGTGGTGTGGTCACAGCTCACTGTAGCCTGGACCTTCTGGGCTCAAGCGATCCTCCCACCTTAGCTTCCCAAGTAGCTGGAACTATAGGCACACACCACCATGCCCAGCTAATTTTTGTATTTTTTGTAGAGATGGGGTTTCATCATGTTGTCCAGGCTGGTCTCAAACTCCTGGACTCAAGCAATCTGCCCACCTCCGCCTCCCAAAGTGTTGGGATTCCAGGTGTGAATCACCATTCCCAGCCTATTTTTTTTTAACGGGGAAAAAATGTTCAATTTTTTGTGTACAAACATCATTTTCTTTTACGGTTTTGGGGTTTTCTGTGATATTTAAGAAGGTCTTCTCTGTCTGGGCAGAGTGGTTCATGCCTATAATCCCAACACTTTGGGAGACCAAAGCGAGTAGATCACCTGAGGTCAGGAGTTCAAGACCAGGCTGACCAACATGGAGAAACCCTGTCTCTACTAAAAATACAAAATTAGCCAGATGTGGTGGCACATGCCTATAATCCCAGCTCCTCAGGAGCAGGCTGAGGTAGGAGAATCACTTAAACCTGGCACGTGGAGTTTGTGGTGAGCCAAGATCGTGCCATTGCACTCCAGCCTGGGCAACAAGAGCAAAACTCTGTGTCAAAAAAAAAAAAAGTTTTCTCTATGATATTGACACAAATTCTCCCATTTCGTTAAACATACTTGTGTTTTGTAAAAATATAAAAACTTAGCTGGGTGTGCAGGGGTGTGCCTCTAATCCAAGCTACTTGGGAGGCTGAGACAGGAGAATCTCTTGAACCCAGGAGGTGGAGGTTACAGTGGGAGCTGAGATTGTGCCACTGCACTCCAGCCTGGGTGACAGAGCAAGACTCTGTCTCATAAATAAATAAATAAAGACATGAATCCCATGGTAGCTCACGCCTGTAACTGCAGCACTTTGGGAGGCTGAGGCAGGTAGAGATCTCTTGAGGTCAGGAGTTCGAGACTAGCCTGGCCAACATGGTGAAACCCTGTCTCTACTAAAAATAAAATTAGCTGGGTGCAGTGGCTCATGCCTGTTCCAGCTATTTGGGAGGTTGTGGCACGAGAATTGCTTGAGCCTGGGAGGCAGAGTTTGCAGTGAACAGAGATCTCACTACTGCACCCCACCCTGGGCGACAGAAT